ACCCTAATCACAACTAATTAGTTATTAACCCTCAATCGGAATATCCAAAACTAAAATTTATAATTTTCAGTGGTTTGCGGTCAAAACGATCAAGGAGTTATGGTTTTCTATATTTGTAAAACTAATATAAGGTTTGGACAGTGGATATTTATTCAATTAATTGAATTCAATTAAATTTTTTATAAAAAAAATCAAAATTTTTATTCCATAAAATTATTTTTTTTAAATTTAAACTACTTTGAATTCAGTAACTCAAACATTAATAAAGTAAAGAACCTTGTAAACTTTAACGATACAAATAAAAATTTGAAGTATATCAACTTTTGTAGTTGAATGAATATGCGACCGTTTTTAATATTATAATTTTTTTTTTATTTTATGTATAAAATGTGTGTTGTGACTGTTACAAGGCGGCTAATAGATTAGGCTTTGTAGAGACTGAATGGATAAAATAAGTTAAATGCATCATTAGGATAACGCCTTTTCTGCGGCGTACATTTCACCTATCGCATCATTTTTTTTCCCAAAATATTTTATCATATGTTAATTCATTATCGATATGTTTGAAAAAATCATATAAACAAAAATAAATTAAAACACGAAAGGCTCATCTCTCTCTCTCTCCGGATTCCCAAACTTTAATCTGTGTGCTTGTACTGTATCTATTAGCAGAAAAATCAACCTTTATTTACCAAATAAGAAAAACGTGCAAGATTTTACAACCACCACCCACCAAAATGGACACGTGCAATTCAAATGTGGTATGAGTCACCGTTCTACGAAAAAAAAAAGACACTGAACGATGATGAAATGAAACTCTAGATGATGACGTCTACGAATGATCACTAAATAAATCATATCATTCTCTGCACAAAAATCTTTGGGCTCTAAGAATGGGTCAATATGACGATAAAACCAAAACTAACCCTTGTCACATATAGATTTTTATTTATCTAAACATTATTCGAATTTAGAATAAAAACATATTTTATATATATTTTTTTTATCACTAGACCATCAAATTTTGGGTTTCATAAATCTCTTTTATTGTAAAATATGCATAAGAACTATGGGTTACTTACATAGTTTGCATTAAACAATTTGTACTATTTGTACGTGGAACTTTCTACAATTTATATATATGTACCTAAACACCCCCGTGGAATTCAATATGAATATAGACAAATGGATGTAATGTGGAAGTAAGATGTGCATGTACATAGATGTGTTTGCGTAATTGATGGTTGGTCTAAATAACTTTGGTCAGAGAGGTAAATAACTTTGGACATTTCTTTGCAACATATTCACATAACATGGATAATAAATCCAAAACTTCTTGTCATTTTCGTTGTTGTCTGAATTTGGAAATTTACGATGGTTTTAATATTTTGAACGGAAAAACAGCAAAACATATCTACGCCTGCCTTTGTATTTGGCACTAATACACCGTCCACTTTACTTTATGCTTCTTTTATTATTATTATTATTTTCGTTTTTGCTCCTTCACGTAAGTGTGTACATATATATATATATATATATATATATATATATATAATCGGTTTTGAAAATTGATAGTCAAATTTGATTGGGCGGGGGGTACATAGATATGACCGTACAACCTTCTTTTTGGTTTCTTTTTGAAGTGGATGGGTTAGTTTTTTGGTTATCTATTTTC